GATGCATCATGATTGTGAAGAAGGAAGCTACAATGAAAATATAGAACAATGTCTCTAGAGATAACGCAATGAGCCAAATTGCTCAGTGGTAGATGCCTGCTGAAGTCAATGGAGTTACACCATTGATTAATTTGTCCCAGTGAATTAGAGAAAGCTGTAATAGATTTCTAGATACAGAGTCTCATTATAAACCAGTTCAGTGGCAACCCAACCAACTGGGAGTTGGAGAGAATAGATGGAAGTACTTTGTTTCCTTGTTTAGAGGACTTTTATTTTGCAGGCCAGACTGGATGGTTTGCTACTGAATTGTGAAAGACATGAAAACTTCCGGAATAACTAATTGCTTAAAACATACGTAAGTCCACTTCCTTCTGTAAGCCTCTTGGATTGTTATTAAAGTGCATTGCCACCTTGAGGGAATTCTGGGAACTCCACCAATGCAATATTTAATGAATGTGGTACAGGTTGGACCTCCATGGTCTGGCACCCTCGGGCGTATCTAGACGATGCTAGACTTTCAAAAGAGGATATGCAAATTTCATGGGAATTTGCATGTCCTCTTTTGAGCTCACTTTCAAAAATGGCACTCTTGAAAGTGAAAGTAATTAAGACACGGTTTTGTCAGCAAACCCTCCTGTTTGTCAACAAGCCACTTTTCCTTAAACCTCTTTTTTTCTTTTTAATGCGGCTTGTCAGCAAACGGGAGGGTTCGCCAACAAAACCAGGTCTTAATTACTTTCACTTTCAAGAGTGCCATTTTTGAAAGTGAGCTCAAAAGAGGACATGCAAATTCCCATGAAATTTGCATATCCTCTTTCAAGTCTAGCATAGTCTAGATATACCCCACCGGACTCAAGTGGTCCCGAACAAGGGAGATTGCTGGACCAGGGAGGGTAGGCTTCTGAGCTCCCCAGGGCTGCCAGCTCCAGCCAACGCCCTGCCTCTAAGCCTGCCTGCAGGCCCACAAACCTAAGCTGCTGGGGGCTCCGCTGCCAGCCTCACTTCAGCCAATGGGGCTCCGCTGTCGCCGGCTCAGATTGCCTCAGTTGCTGGCTACACTCTGGCTGCCAGCCAGGCTCTGATGTCCCTGGCCACTAGCCCTGCTCTGGCTGCCGGGAGGTCTGCTACCAGCCTTGCTACGGCCAGTGGGGCTCTGGTAGGCTGCTGGTAGGGCTCCTCTACCACTGGACACTGGTCCCAGTGCCAGCCGGCAGGGCTTCTTCCTCCTGCTGGACCTGCTCAGGCTTCCAGCCCACCAGTAGGGTTCCACTCCCAGCCTGCTGGCTCCACAGGCTGCCAGGTGTGCTCCCTATCCCTCAGCCACTGGCTCTGCGAGGTGTTGATCCACCAGACCAATTTCACTCCCAGCTGCTGGCAACATCTGTCCCTCCTCACAGCTAGGGCTCTGTTCCAGCAACATCATGATGCAGCCGGATCAGATGTTCAACCTGTATGCTCAGAACAGAGATGTGGTCTCTGCTCCCAGAAGTTTACCAGAGTAGCAAGATGCTGCAGAGACACAAAACACCAAGGCTATGTCTACACTCGCGGCTTCTTGTGCAAGTATGGCCGTTCTTGCACAAGAATCCACAGAGCATCTACACTGCCCACCTGCTCTTGCGCAAGGAAATTTACAGTACAGCATGGTAAGAGGGGCTTCTCGTGCAAGAGCTATGTTCCTTTTTAACAGGTGTAAGCCCTCTTGCACAGGAGCTCTTGCGCAAGAGGGCAGTGTGGATGCTTGGCAGGGATTTCTTGCGCAAGAAAGCCCTATGGCTAAAATGGCCATCAGAGCTTTCTTGCGCAAGAGAGCAGCCACACTGCCATAGGAGCTCTTGCACAAAAGTGCAGTGTGAACATTCTTGCACAAGACTTTTTGCACAAGGGTTCTTGTGCAAGATGCCATGAGTGTAGACGTAGCCCAAGTGATTTATCACAAAGGGCTGTGATGTAATCGGTTGGTGGTTTTAAAACACAAACCTGAGACTTCTCTTTCCAAGACGAAAGAGGCACAAGGTTTAGCAGAAATGGTGCATTTTCAGAGGGTATTTGAAGGAGATGGTAGGTGGACAACACTTGAGGTTGGGTTGACAACGCCAGGCCTAGGGAACAGCAATAGCAGGAGGGGAGAATGGGAGTAAGGCCAGTTGTGCAGAACACAGCTCAAAGTGGTAGACTGAGTGCCATGGAGACTCAGTGAGGTGAGTAATCACTCTGCTTTTTCTGGTTACAATTATTTGAACAGATGGTGACAATCAGGTGGTCTCAGTAGTCTTGGACACTTGTCAACTTGGGTACCAGTGAGGCCATGGAACAGACCAGCTCATTATAGCAGCAGGTATCTTCTGGCACTGGACCACAATTGTATTGTGACCCTGACATTCTTAGAACTCCCAGATGCCTTTCATGCCATTATGAGGTGGTACAGATTGAGTTGGGGACTAACAGTGGTACCAGTCTTTTATTTAAGGGTTCTCAGATCACTGGTGGGACCCTACCAAAGAGTGCTGCAAGATTCCCTTGTGTTGGCTGAGGTGGGGATCGCTGTGCTTTCAGTATGTTAATAGGGCTCAGCTCTTTCATTTCCCTACCACGCAGAAGGATCAAGTGCAGCCCTCAGCTGATGTGTGGATTAGAACTTGCTGACTGTTCTCTGAACCATCAAGCCAATAGTGATTATAGGGGAACAACTGGAAGAGAATATCATCTCCTTCAACTGAGGGAGAGGTTAGCCAATTTGAGTCAAGTAATCAACCTGAAGACTAGCTAGCCTTCCAGAGGCTACAGATTGAACCTCTAATCCAGCACTCTCTAGTCCAGCATGATTTTAGTTAGCTGGATGTCCATTTATCATAGGTATGGCCAAGTTTCCCACAATCCCATAAAATTCATTTACAGCCACCGCTAGTCCTGACTCTCAGTGCTCTGTGATGTTATTTAGCTCTAATTTACTCCAAATGTCTTCTAAGAGTCCAATAAGCACTAGAAGTGTTGCTAAGACTGCTAGACAATGTTGACCTGATGCAGTTTGGCAAATTCTCTGGTTTGGCACCGGTCAGAATCCAAGGTGGGAGTAAGGCCAGTTGTGCAGAACACAGCTCAAAGTGGTAGACTGAGTGCCATGGAGACTCAGTGAGGTGAGTAATCACTCTGCCTTTTCTGGTTACAATTATTTGAACAGATGGTGACAATCAGGTGGTCTCAGTAGTCTTGGACACTTGTCAACTTGGGTACCAGTGAGGCCATGGAACAGACCAGCTCATTATAGCAGCAGGTATCTTCTGGCACTGGACCACAATTGTATTGTGACCCTGACATTCTTAGAACTCCCAGATGCCTTTCATGCCATTATGAGGTGGTACAGATTGAGTTGGGGACTAACAGTGGTACCAGTCTTTTATTTAAGGGTTCTCAGATCACTGGTGGGACCCTACCAAAGAGTGCTGCAAGATTCCCTTGTGTTGGCTGAGGTGGGGATCGCTGTGCTTTCAGTATGTTAATAGGGCTCAGCTCTTTCATTTCCCTACCACGCAGAAGGATCAAGTGCAGCCCTCAGCTGATGTGTGGATTAGAACTTGCTGACTGTTCTCTGAACCATCAAGCCAATAGTGATTATAGGGGAACAACTGGAAGAGAATATCATCTCCTTCAACTGAGGGAGAGGTTAGCCAATTTGAGTCAAGTAATCAACCTGAAGACTAGCTAGCCTTCCAGAGGCTACAGATTGAACCTCTAATCCAGCACTCTCTAGTCCAGCATGATTTTAGTTAGCTGGATGTCCATTTATCATAGGTATGGCCAAGTTTCCCACAATCCCATAAAATTCATTTACAGCCACCGCTAGTCCTGACTCTCAGTGCTCTGTGATGTTATTTAGCTCTAATTTACTCCAAATGTCTTCTAAGAGTCCAATAAGCACTAGAAGTGTTGCTAAGACTGCTAGACAATGTTGACCTGATGCAGTTTGGCAAATTCTCTGGTTTGGCACCGGTCAGAATCCAAGGGTGCAGAACTAGAGAGGTTCAATCTGTATAAAAAAGTCAGGTAGAGTCTACAGCCCCAATCAGCTTTTTTCCCCAATTATACACAAGACAGTTTTTCAAACTGATATTTACAACTGTCAACTCTGCTTTCACTCTCTTGTGCAACAAGATCCGTGGTGCTGCACATCTTAAATCTATCCAGAGACTGATTGAGGGTTTCACCTGTTTTGGATACAGCTTGCCTTAACACCACTTTCTCAGGGCCTAAGCTTTTTTGCAGACAACACAAGACCAACACAAGACCATACATCACTTCAGTAGTTATTAGCCACAGTAATTTCCCAAACACATGGAATGCAAGTCAATCTGTTGATCCATCAGGGGTTCTTAAACAGCATTGCTTCATAACCCCCACACGACCAGAAGGAGACTGATGCTTGAGTCTCTGCAGCCCAGCAAATCCAGGCCAATTCTGGTGATTCCATTAAAATGGGGTCATGGACCACTGTTAAGAACTGCTAATATAATTGATATCAAAGCTGTGAAGTGATTTAAGATTGTGGGTTTGCAAGTTTGATGAAGTTGAGTGCTGCTTTTGGAGAAGAAAGTGAAATCCTGACAGAACGTGTTACTGACAGCATTGTAGGCAATATGAATAAGAACTAATTTGGCAAAGAAACCTGGGCAGTTTTGGCCATTTAACAGAATGTAGTCATTTATGAGAGTAAACTTTGAGGAGATGCAGTAGAATTTACAAGCTAATTCTGATTTCCTTTCCATTGGGTTTCACAACATGATTTAGCACCAAGTGCACATTTAGGTAAGTCAGGGTGGATTTTCAATTGTGTCTAAGTGATTTAGGAGCATAAGTCTCAATAGCTTCACCTGCAGAATCAACGAGGCTAGTTAACATTTGTTTTCCTTTAAACAAAGCCCAATTCCAGATCACTGTTCTTAGATGAGAAAAAAGTTCCAATGGCAGTAGGATTATTATAGCCAAAAAAAACCCCTGCAAAATCCATTTTAAACAAAAAGATTTAATAACTTCTGTAGCAAAGTTTAGTCAAATAGGCCAAATCCCATGTCATCATCCGATTCCTCAGACTCCTCTTTCTTCTCTTCTTTCTTCTCCTCAGCTGCAGAGAGAAGAAATGTAAACAATGTTCACTCTCATCTGGGATTATTTACAGTACATTTTGGACATTGCGAGTATGAGGAAATCCCAAAACGTGCTCTCCTCATGAATACATACACCCCTTTCAGAACAAATTAATGAAGGTGAGGAGCAATCAACTGTGAACACCACTTACTGGTGGCATCTTCTATGCATACCATCTTAACAGTTCATTCCCTGGTACAGCTCAGAGATAGCCTTTAGCATTAAAACCAGGTTAGTTAATAACAAGCCACCAAAGAACAGTAAAAAGTACCCTAAATTTAAATGATGGGATTAAGGCACTAAGATTAATGTATAAAATGGAGTCCCTCTATTTTCCCCTTAGTTTCTATGCACTATACAAGTATACTCACCAGCAGCAGGAGCAGTGCTAGCAGCAGGAGCAGCAGAACCTGCAGCAGCTGAGACTGCTACAGCTCCACCAACTGGCATGCTGGCGAGTTTGCCATGACCTGTAAGGGTGAAAAGGACAGGGAATAGTAATTAAGCTTTGGCCCTACAAATACTTCCAACATGCAAAACCAAAGTTATGTAGAAAGAAGGCACTTAGTCAATATGGCATACAGACAGGTCTATGATAGGACAAAATGAATGAGAAAAATAAAAAATACACTAATGGGCTGCACCCCATGCTTGCCAACCCCCTCTGGCGGCTTTTGCAGCCAGAGAACATGATGAGATCAGAGCGCATGAGGGTGGGATTATGTCATTCTGTTGCCTGGCAGGAAAAACGTTTTTATACAGCCACTCCCCAACTTATGAACACACTGACTTACCACCATCCATACTTAAGATCAACCTCCCATTAACTCCATTACAGTATTTTTGAGTTGAGAACCGTGTATGTCAAGTTTTTCCAAACAGCATGGGCAGCACATTTAAGAGTATTTCCGACCAAATCGAGTTACGAACAGGTGTTCGGAGCGTAACCCGTGAGTGTGAGTGTGAGTGATCCTCTGAAATTAACCTATACAACCTATACTAGCCACCTGCAAAGAACAACAAGGTGCCAGATACTTTGGTTGGTTTGTTTAAAAACAGCATATTCTAAAATAAGATTCTAGAGTATAAGACTGAAGCATTGGGCCATTAGCCAATCAACCAACCAACCAGGTGTGGACAATAGTTCTTGGCAGCGTGGGCAAATTTTTTTATTTGCCTACAAATCCCCCCAAAATCCATATTAAAAAGACTGACAACAGCAGGCAAACATTACCAAATAAAGAGAAAGAAGGTGACCTTCAAGAAGAGCATTTCAAATATGACCTCTGCTAGGTCCTTTCTATTCTATATGGTCTACAATGTAGCATGATCGGGATCAGAACTGTATGAATAGTCAATTAAGGGTTCCTGGCCATTGAAAACAAATATTTAGGGTTAAATCAATTTTTGTTTCAGCGAACTGAAAAGTGGGAAAAAAGTTTGGATTTTTTAAAGTTCAAAATGTTGCTATTTTGGAAATGTTTTCAGTTGAAAAATCTCTGCAAAATTGAAACAATTTGGCAAATTTGACCAGAATGTGTGAAATGAATCCATTCTCCAATGAAAGAGAAATGTCAAAGACATTTACCCAGTTATAATTTGGATACAGCATAGTAACTCTGACAAGGGAGGCTAACCAAATTGTGCTTCTGGACTTCGAAGCACTGTTTGGGAGTACGATTAGATTCCCACGTATAGCAGGAGACCAAAAGACTTTTTAGCTGTTACAAGGAATACTGTAATAAACAGGCCTCTCCACTTCGAAGCACTGTTTGGGAGTACGATTAGATTCCCACGTATAGCAGGAGACCAAAAGACTTTTTAGCTGTTACAAGGAATACTGTAATAAACAGGCCTATTTCTAAACAAATCCTTAGTATTTCAGATTCCTATAATTAGCAAAATAAACATGTTTTATAATCATGTCAGATATTCTAGGAAGCCACATAAAATAAAACCTCAAAGTTTCAAACACCTTGGGAATGGAGACTGTCCCTAACTTGGAAGTGTTCATAACATTGAACAAAACATAGTTCTTCTCTGAAAAGTTTACAACTGAACCTTATCTTAATACTGCTTTGAAAATTTATTACAGTTTGGACCTCCCTGGTCCAACACCCTCAGGACCTGAATAAGATTTTTCTGGCCCAGGGGAGGTCATTTCAGGTCCCCCTTCCCTGCCGGCTTCTGGGCTCACCCTGCAGCCCAGGTCATGGCACTCCCCCTCGCCCCCACAGCACAGCTGAACCATGTGCTGGTTCCCTGTCCCCCACCCTTGTAGCCCAGATGAGGCGCACAGCTTCTGGCCCCCTCAAAGCCCAACTGAGCACATGCCAGCTCCCAGGACCCCGCCACCCTGCAGTGCAGCAGGACACTGATCCAGGAAGATCCATGGTCATGTCGGACCAGAGAATCCCAGATTTTAGAGGTGCAACCTGTATGAAGAAAAAATGCTGGTTCTCCCCCACCCTTTAAATAGTTTACATTGAACACAGTAGTATCTTGTGTGGCTTTGAGATTTTTTTGGTTCCTGACACTGTCTGACTTCTGGTTTCAGTTCTGGTGTTTTTAACTTATTCTACTGTATTTCTAAAATAAAGTGTTCCATCAGCAGACAATTGAAACCATCACAGAAGTATCCAATAGCTGCTGTACTTACTGATAATCATTAAGGCCTGTTCCTATGAGCTCTTAGGCACGTGAGTAAGTAAAACTACACATCTGCTCAAGTGTTTGAAGGAAAGGGGATTAAATCATTACTTCAATTAGCCCAAAGCTTTTTAATCAGCATGCTATGTAGACACAGTGTATGTAGTCAGTAAAATACTCAATAGTGGAACATTCATGTGCCTTTCTAAATTTATTTTCAGTGCAACAACAACAAATATAAATCTGATTTCCACTTAGGGATCCTGCTTAATAAGATTTATCATATCCAGGGCTCCCTGGAATAAAGAACAGAAGGCTTGTGAATAAAGTATTTACTTCATGGTGAAGTGACTTCTCCAAGAAAGGAAGTTCAAGAACACAACTATAATTTAGAATGCTAACATCTGGCTCATTCTCCCACCTACTAACATGTTCAGAAAACTCTGTTATGAGCAGACTAACTGTAAACTCATATTTAAGAGCATTTTCCAGTTTGATCTGGTCCACAAGCGAAACCTAGCAGGTACTGGCACTAACCTGCAGGAATCAGGATGGACGCTACGCATTAGCTATCACATTCAGTTACCCTCATTTTGTATCTTAAGTAAGAGCCCCCCCCCAGAGTAAGTCTGATTTAACAAGGAAAAAAACAAAACAAAACAAGAAATCTGGTAATTCTTAACCCTCTTGAAGGTCTTCAAATTAGTGACTGAATTAGAGAGGCAGCCATCATAAATGTC